ATTATTTTATTTTAATTATATAGCTATTTTATTAAATTTAATAACATAGGTAATATATTTTTTTATTTACTTTAAGCTAATTAGTTTATTTTCTAAAATATATTATTTTTTTATATTTATAAATATTTTATTAATTTATTTTTTAAAAAATTTAATACTTTTATATATTTCTATAATTTTATAGCTTATTTTTTTATTAAGTTTATTAACTTTATAATCTTTTTAAAAAAGCTAAAACTAGTTTTTTATAATTTTTTTAAAGTAAATAGCTATAAAGGTAACTTTTATAGGTTTTTTAGCTAAAGTTTATAAAAAGTATTAAATATAATATTAAAGTTTTATAATAAAAGGTTTTATTTCCTTAGGTTTTTTTATAAAAGGTTTTAAATACTTAAACTTTAGGATTTCTTTATTTTTCTTTTTTTTACTAACTTCTTTAACTTTATTAAAGTTTTTTATATTTATTTTATTTATAAATATTTTATTAAATTAAAATATATTTTAAATAAATATTAAAATTTTATTTTTAAATAATTTAGTAATATTAAAGATATTTTTTATAATAATATTTCCTTTATTATCTATTTAAAAAGCTTTAAGGTTAATAATAGAAGTATTAATATCCTTAAATAATCTAAGTATAATAGTTTCTTTTTACTTAAAAGATAATTAATATCCTTTTAAATAAAAGTCGTTAATATATAACGTCTTAATCCCTATTTTTAATATAGGGTAAGGGTTCCTAAAGTAATAAACCTAAATCATAGGTTTATATTAACAAAAAGGATAAAAAGTAACTTTTAAGCAGTAGTAATTATAAATATATAAAAATAAAATAAAAAGTATAACTTATATTTAATCTTAATATTTTATTAACGACTGGTTATTTAAACTATTTAAATAATTATAATGAAATAAACTTATATATTTAGTTACCTTTTTTAGATTATATATAGATTACGGTGTTCTTAGATTACGATGGATTACAGTGGTGATCTATTATAGGTGTTATGTATAGGCGATCCCTTTGTAATTAGTTGGTTGGTCTAAGACTTGTTCCGGGGTACGTATTTTCCGGCCTTAAGAGGTTGGGTCGTAACAGATAATAGTAATTAGCTTTAAAAAGATGTACAGTATCAGGGAAAATATGCTGATAACATTCGCTTGCACCGCTGTATTAGCGTGTGTCCTCGCGGCCCGTCCCTAGATTCAGGGATGATCCATCGCACACTGTCGCATCATAAACTGAGTTTTACCCTTTGATAATCATTAAGGGGGCATTAAATAGCCAAACTAGTCTTATAGCGGGAGAATATCCCGACCAGATGAATGTCAGACAGCTTAACGAGCTGCTTACGTGCAACTACAGGCTTTCTTGAACTGTTACGTATTAGGGCGAAACTTGTCAAACCATCCCATTCATTAAAGTATGCCGCAATGCGTCGTATAGATTTATTAGCAATTATAGGCGATAAAAAGAGCCTGTTCTGGGCGCTTCGGTGGCATGAACTGGCCGATTTTATTGCTGCCTAGATGGCAGCAAGCTGACGTCACAGACAAAGGTCAGTTCCAGCTCGTAGCTTTGCTAACGGTACAACCTGCTTAGAAGCAGCGCACGGTATCAGCCACAATGCGCCACATATAGTCCGTGCGGAGAGAAACTTTACATTAACAAAGCGGACACTCATTTCAGTCGCTTCTGTATACGTGAGCACCTATATGTATGTGCTAAGGCATGGCTTGTTTACATCACCAATAGCATCGACATCTCAGGCACATGGCTAGGACCCCAAGATAACACATCGTGCGCTAAATGGAGATTAACTTTGTGACGGGAATAAGGACTCTCTTGAGAATACAATCTTTTTGGGGCCTCATCAGCGCCCACATTACATACTCTGGACACATAAGCCTGGCCCGGTAGTTCCGTGCTTCATGTCGAAGTGTTGAGTTTTTATGTGCTCCTCTAAATGGGCTGTGCTAAAGGCCTAATCGGCGAGGCAATTCAACAACACATGCTGTCTCACAATATCAGAAGAAGGCTCCGTCGAGGCGGATGAAGAAAAGCCACGGCCAAGTTGCCCAGTGGAGCTCCGACAACTGTCCACGAATACAAGCAGCTCCCATTAAAAAGCTTGGATAGATTTGTGGAACTCAAAGGCACAGCCGTGTCCACCTATTCAACTTTATTGACTGGTGTTTCTACGGTATGGAGATGAGAGTTACGGGTTACGCAAGAACCAACAGCGCGGATGTCGGTGGCGGATGTCGGAGATGCCCGGACCTTTTGATTGCCGCCGGGTACCTTGTATCTTGTACCTCCGTGCTCCGTCCATCCCGCATCTTATCTCTTACTTGTACTAAAGTGAGACAGCGCCTCAAATAATAAGACACAGATTGACCAGGCCTGCTCTCTTTTAAAATAAAACATCAATTGAGATAAATAGTCAACGGCTCAGGGGCAGATAAGGCGATAACGAGTAAGGGGAGCACAAAGTTCTAGATCTTCCGCCAACCCCTTTCCATTCGCATATCGCAATCAGCATCTGAAAATCCTCCAGGTTCCCTTGAACTTTTCTCTTAGCACGACGCTATCTCTCCGAGCATGTACCAGGTTTCACGAAGCCCCACGCTTGGCGGATACTGTCCAGTCTTTGTCACCAAAAAATCTGTCAACATCCGTCTCAGCGCCTGAAGCCCAGTCTCCTATCGCAGAGCCTCCAGTGAGACCTGTGACATTCCAAGCTGCGTAAAACCGAGTACAGAGGACCAAATCGAGAAGCGGCCTTTTCTTTAATCTGACAATGTCCGCTCGTCATCATTTCGTAGGGCCGTCGTGTTATCTTCCAGGCTGCGCGTCAGCAGTTCGCTGCACCGCCTAAACTCTGGCTGGCCATTGTGTGCTCCTAGCGCCTGGTGGTCCAACCAGATTGTGCAAAACTTGCGCGGCGTTACCCACCGATAGTTGCCAGGTGTACCCGTTCCGCGTTGGTCGTCCCTCGTACAGGCGATCACCATTTGCCCTTTCCGAGTGGCTTGAGGGCGAGCGAGGGTTTTCGTAGGCCGACACCGGTTGCACTACCCTCCGTCGGGGGTTTCGCTCAGCTGACCAGACACAAGAGACACCGGCTATCCCCGCCCCAGTCGGTGAGTCGCTTTTCGCTGCGTATCTCTGAGATCTTGATAAATGCACTCGTTGTATCGTCCTGTATCGCCCATTCATTAGATCCCTCATAGCATACCTCTCTATACAATTCATCAAAAGATATCATCAATCATGGCCGCCAATGTTGTGTCTAGCAGCCAAGCGCTCGGTAGCGTTGGCGACGTTGTAGCGCACAAGGAGGATCGCTTCGAACAACTCGTGCTGGCGCTCAAGGACGCCCTTGGTCCGTCGTCAGGATTGACGTCGGACGATGTCGACGTCGGCTTCCTGATGGACCTGATGCGAGCCTATGACGGCAGCGATGGGCAGTGGTCCAAGTATGCATTCGGCGACGCCAGCAGAGGATACACTCGTAACCTTGTCGACGAGGGCAATGGCAAAAGCAACCTGGTAGGTCCTGTCCTGAAGCCTCACTCAGGTGCATCCAGTGTATTGACAAGAAGCGATACAGCTTGTACTTGTCTGGTCCCCAGGCAAGGGCAGCCCCATCCACGACCACGGAAACGCGCACTGCGTCATGAAGATTTTGCGCGGCGATCTCACTGAGACGCGCTACGCCTTCCCAGAGAAGGACGAGCCCGAGGGACCGATGACTGTCATCTCCGAGAAGACATATAAGGAGAACCAAGTGACGTACATGGCCGACGAGCTCGGCCTCCATAGAGTATCCAACCGTGGCAGCGACTTCGCTGTCTCGCTGCATCGTAAGTTGCATCTCGGCCCCAAGACACTTGTGCTGGACCTGACCAAACAACCTCTCCAGTGTATACTCCTCCCAACGTAGCGAGGGAGGGCTGCCACATCTTTGACGAGAGGACTGGCAAGAGAAGCCATGTGCCCGGCTGCATGTACTTTTCGGTGTATGGCCGCCTGGTCAAGGAGCAGTAAACCGGCACAGCAGTGCGTACATCGGGTACGTCGGGAATGGCGATATGGCGTTGGTCTTGGGTTGGTCTCTTTCTCATGGTTGTCTCGTTGCCTGCTTTGAAGATATTGTTTTAGTTCATCGTTCGGGGTATTGTTGGGTAGCATCTGCCATGTTCATCCACGGCGGAGGAGAAGTGGTCCTCAGCGACGGATTTATAGCGAAAGCACAGCATTTTTGGTACTGAATGAAACGCCTCGTCTTATACAAGCTCGTCTGCCCTGCTGCAACAAGAAGAAGAGTGTAGTTGAAGGAGAAGGAAGGTTGGTCGCATGTCGTTGATATTCGGGCTCTTGTTCTAGAGAGCCATCGATGGCGTGATTTCAGCTAGACCTAATTGGGGACAGTCGACTGCTTGGTGGTGACGGATCTCGGCGCAGTTTTTATGGGGGGTTGCGGAGGTATCACGGTATTCTGAGAGCTTAGTCATGGCGATGATGGGCATTTACAAGGACAAACAAGAGGGCAAACTGTGTTGGGAGGGAGAGAGTGTATCAGGGGCAGTTGTAATGCTACTGATATATGCTTATTTTCCTCCATGAGTAAGACGTGATTGTATTAGAGGTAGGTAGCTGTCACTGCTATTCGCTTACAATGTGGTACGAGCTGTCAAAATGTCGGAGTGACATGCTCTTTCCATCAGATCACTTACTCTTTTGCTGGTCGCTCTGACACGTCACATGACCTCGCGTTTGCAGTCTCGTACTCGTACTGGCTTTCAATCATTGGACGCGAATCAACTGGCGGAACTGCCATTGTAATTGTAGAATAAGCAGTTCAGAAAAAGTAAATTGATAGACATGATCAGCTGCAGAATTTTACTTCATTTCAGCAGTATCAGCCATCAACAGACTTCCCCTTTGCATTGATATTTTTTCAGCATCTAATAGAAGAGCAATTGGTTTCGCTATGCCTCGTCGCAAGCGCGCCGCCGAAGTTATCGATCTTACCGGCGATACTCCTGAACCAGCTCGGAAGCGACCTGCTGTGTCTTCTTCGCAAACTTCTCGGGCATCTTCTGGCCTGAATAACTCATCTCAGAGGAACCAATCATGGGCTTATTCATCGTCCACACAAGAGCCCGACTATCTGGATTTGACGCAAGACGACGACTCCTTTGGCAGGGAATTTTATGGCACTTTTGGTTCGTTTGCCGATTCCCCCGACAGCCCAATTATTTCGGTAGAATGCTAAATGCTTGATATATAGATGCAAAAATAGTAGGCGTCAGGTACTATGACGGATATGCTTCACCTGGCGAGGCCGTCTTGTGTCACAGAGAGCCCACAAATCAGGTATGCACTATTAATAAATAGCCGGTTTGGCATCATCTAGTCACAGAGCTAATATATATATATAGTATGACAGAAATGCTATCCGAATAGACAACGTGCTTCACCAGCAAATAGGCCACTTGCCTCGCACAGTTGTTGAAAAACTCGCCCACTATATCGTGAGTTTGGTGTCTATGATTACGGACTACCCCCTTCGCTCTGTGTCTGACATAGTATAGGACTCTGGCGACCTCACCGTGGAAGGCCAAATCATAGGAGAAAAGGCTTACTACGATTGTCCCATTAGATTGTCTTTTTACGGGCCAAGTGACCCTGCTGAACGAACAAGAATCGAGGCTGCTTTAAAGGCAGATAAATTTGTCAAGGCAACTCAGCTAAAGCAGACCAGAAAAGATGCCGAATCACGTAGGGTAGTGCTTGGGCTATCTCAAAGGATTTCCACTGCTGGATTCGGCGATTCAGGTCGGGAGGTTCCTGAAATATCCCTCGAAGAAATCCTCCAGTCTAGCGATGCAGTCGAGTTCCGCAAAGGCGGCGATGCCATCAAGACGTTGGCGATGGGCGAGGAGGAGCTGTCCAAGATGCCACAGGCTGAACAACCAAGCCAGCTCAAGTCTACTCTTCTGCCGTATCAGCTACAGGTATGCCTGCACATAGTCCTGTCTTTCTTTCCGTCCTTATTTCGCCAAGCCGCAGCTAACATGGTATAAAAAGGGCTTGGCCTGGATGCAATCGAAGGAGAACCCCCAGCTTCCAGCTGTTGGGTCGGATACGGTAACTCAGCTTTGGAGACGCGACAACAAGGGCCGATACTGGAATGTCGCTTCTGAATTCATTACCTCCAAAGCGCCGACGCTCTTCTCAGGCGGCATTCTTGCTGACGATATGGGCTTGGGAAAGACACTCCAGATCATCAGCTTAATCCTCACCGGTGGCTCTGGTTCAACGCTCATTGTTGCTCCCGTCAGTGTGATGAGCAACTGGGAGCAACAAATTCGAAGGCACGTCAAAGAGGAACATCAGCCAAGTATCCTAATATATCATGGTGCCAAGAAAGTGGCAGCCCAAGACCTCATGGCGTACAACGTCGTCATTACTAGCTACGGTACACTTGCCAAGGAACTGGATAATGGCGTCAGCAAAACTTTATTGAGTACAAAGAAAAACTGGCGGCGAGTTGTGCTTGATGAAGGGCACACCATACGAAACGTAAAGACTAAAGCGGCTCTGGCAGCTTGTGAACTCAAAGCCCAGTCTCGTTGGGTGCTCACTGGAACCCCCATGTAGGTGCCATCTTTTGCCAACTTCATTGCCGCGATATACTAACCCGTCATCAGTGTCAACTCCGTCAAGGATCTCCAGTCTCTGGTCAAGTTTCTGCACATCACTGGAGGCATTGAACAACCCGAGATATTTGGCAATGCAATCTCGCGCAAATTAATGATGGGTGATCGCAGTGGGGAGGCTCTTTTGCAGTCTCTGATGCAAGACATCTGTCTACGACGTCGGAAAGACATGAAATTTGTTGACCTCAAACTTCCCAAGAAGACAGAGTACCTCCACCGAATCGCATTCCACCCAGAAGAAAAGGCCAAATACGATGCTCTATTGTATGTCAACCACCATTTCTCGTCTCTTATAATTCTTGTTTTGTGCATTCGGTACTAACCCACCCGTAGATCTGAAGCCAGGGGTGTGCTAGAGGAATACCAAGCAAAATCTCAGACCGGACAAAAGGGTCGCTTCCAAAACGTCTTGGAGCGCCTTCTTCGGCTCCGGCAATCGTAAGTCGCCTCCTCATTGCGTGATGCTGTCATACTGACTTCTTATAGGTGCAATCACTGGACTCTGTGCAGAGAACGGATCGATGATCTTATGCAGATGCTCAAAGACCAAGACGTTGTGCCCTTGACGGAAAAGAACCGCGCATTGTTGCAAGAAGCTCTTCGGCTGTACATTGACAGTCAAGAAGAATGCGCAATTTGCTACGAGGTGCCCACCAACCCAGTGATTACAAACTGTCAGCATGTGTTCTGTCGCCACTGCATCGCCAGGGCAATTCAGCTACAGCACAAATGCCCCATGTGCCGCAACCCGCTGACAGAAGACAATCTTCTGGAACCAGCTCCCGAAGGTGCATTTGACAAGAACTTTGATACCGAAAAGCAGAGTTCAAAGACAGAGGCAATGCTGCAGATAGTTCGAGCCACGCTTAACAATCAGGGCTCAAAAATTGTCATCTTCTCACAGTGGACATCGTTCCTCAACATTGTGGAGAAGCAGCTCGAAGGTGCAGGGCTGAAGTACTGTAGGATTGATGGAAGCATGAATACAGAGAAACGAGACCAGGCCATCGACGCCCTCGACAATGACTCTGAGACACGCATCATGCTGGCCAGTCTGGCGGTTTGCAGCGTTGGACTTAACCTTGTTTCCGCGGATACGGTGATTTTATCCGACAGCTGTAAGTTCCCCCCCTTTTCAACATTTACCCATGTTCCACACTTACTTATTCTCTCGCAGGGTGGGCATCAGCGATTGAAGACCAGGCTGTTGATCGAGTACACCGCCTCGGCCAAAGACACGAGACGAAGATTTGGCGTCTTGTTATGGAGAATACCATTGAAGAGCGCGTGCTGGATGTTCAACAGGAGAAGCGTGACCTAGTCACCAAGGCGTTCCAGGAAAAGGGCAAGACGAAGAAGTCCAACGAGACGAGGATGGCGGATGTAATGAAGTTGCTTTCTTAGACGAATACTTTGGGCGGCTCCTAATAGATTCCCCAAGTACATAAAAAAGACGATGCTATGAGCAAGGGCGCAATGGGTTTTCGGAAATTACTGCATGGACACTGGGATCTCATTGCTTCATCTACCCAGGGCCGATAGAGGCAGTATAGCTAACGGAGCCGACATACTCTACATGCGTGAGATGACGAATATAGGCAATGATGACATGTGCAATAATTTGTGATTAACAGGGGCTAATGGATAGCTGCTAGGCACTCTGGCTCTAAAAGAAATTCACCCCAGATCCGTTCTGCTAATTCCTGTGCACATATCTTGCTCAAGGCGTCGGGGAGCCTAGCCACAGGGATAACGATGGCCTGGGGAGCCAATGATCAGCCTGAGTGCTTACAGGGATGGGATGGATGGCAGCGCGGTGTTGCGGGAGCACCCGCCTCCGCCAATTAGTGCCTGCGAAAAGTATAAACGATACAGACATTTCTGAGAGGGGCCTCGAGGACGTGGAGACGGAAGATAAGATTGATTGCGGCGATGAGGATATGGGAGATACATGCTGCATTTCAGCCCCTGCAAGAGAAGCAAACTAGAGAGTAGGTACTTGAGGCTGCAGCGACATGCAACGGGCAAACCAGGCTTGCCAATAGGATGAAGCCAAAACACGTGTCTATCTCTGGGTAGTTGTGGCTAAATCGCGCCCAACCGATGCTATTTCCATCCATCGAATCTCAGCCCGTTTCTCGATGCCTAACTCGGAGCGCTCCAAGCCTCCACACCACGCATTTGATTCCAATATGCCCTCAGAAAAACAAAAGGTTTACAGGCTGAGTAACATCCCAGCCGATGCTGATCGACATACAGTCTTCCAGCTCCTAGTTCAAGCTCTGAGCGATGTTTCATACGAAAATATTCAGCTATTCTCACTGGCTTTCTCCATCGATCACCTTGACGGGTCACGATCAAAATTGGCAACACTTACGTTCAACAAAGTCCCAAATATTGTCAAAGATGAACCCAACAAGTCACAATGGAAGCTCCAGCTTCCAGGTCTATCTAACTCCCTGATACTTGACACTCATTTCCTTGGGTTCACTCCCTTGAACGACGTATCAGGTCCCCAACACCTATGCGAGTATGTGTCCGCATGTTACACTAGGTACTGAACCAAAAGCTGAAGCGCAAATCTGTAGCTGTATCGCAATTTCTGGTTTGTCCAGCCACCCATTCGGCTCGTGGCAGCCCCACGGAAGCGACAAGAGTTTCATGTGGATTCGAGACTCCCTGCCTCGAGACCTGCCTGGTGTACGCACCATCATCTATGGCTATGATACCGCTCTCATTAATAGTACTTCTTTTCAAACAATTCAAGATATCTCTTTGACTCTGATTCATCAGCTGAAGGCGAATGGTTGGGCCTCTCCGGGATCAAAAAACCTTGTGTTCCTTGCGCATAGCCTTGGAGGTGTGATACTGAAAGAGGCACTGGTCTCGATGGCCGGAAGCGGAGAGAGAGAAAAGTACGTGCTTTCTTTAACAAAAGGAGCGATATTTTTCGGCGTCCCGAGCCATGGCATGCATATATCTCATTTCTTGGCCATGGTGGGTAGCCAACCGAATCAAGATCTTATCAGAGACTTGTCCAGTGATTCAACATATTTGATGAACCTCGATAAGCGATTTGAAGGAATATCTGTTATTCGGCAAATGAAGCTCTTCTGGGCTTATGAAACAAAAACGTCACCACTCTACACTGTAAGTATGGTGTACACCCCTCTTCCCTGCGCATCCGTTCCGAATGGTGGAACTAATAGTTAAGAATAGAGAAATACAGATGGGTCAGTTTCAAGATCCAGTTCCGAAGCTGTTTTGGTCACTCCCGATTCAGCTACCCGCGGATTGATCTCTTCGAATCCGGCTGCAACCATACAGATCGACGCAAGTCACTCCGATATTGTCAAATTTGTAGAACACTATCACAAGTATGATATTATACTCAGCAAGTTGAGGGAGATCTGTGGCCAACGGCCTGATCATATTGCACCCTCCCCCATTGGCGCGTTCAGTTTGAACTATTCAAGGCCCGTAGCTGACAAGCATGGGAGTCCGGCGTCGCTCGTGGATCCAAACGCATGGGATTACACAGGTTAGATGAGCGATACTTTTACGTCGTCTATACTTGGTGCTGACGATATCGGCAGAATTAGTAAAGCGCCTTCACGCGCCACAGCGTGATCATCGACTGGAGCAGATCGAGAAAAAATTTGGTCACACCTTTGACTGGGTTTTTGACGACAGGTCTGTAGGTCTGTCAAAGTGGCTTCAAGATGGTCAGGGCATCTTTTGGATAAGTGGCAAACCTGGTTCTGGTAAATCCACGCTTACGAAATTTATCGTCAACGACCCACGAACGCACGAGCTCCGTAACCGTTGGACATCGAAAGCCACCATGATAACCGCCAATTTTTTCTTTCATCATCGAGGTTCCACGATTCAAAAATCCTTGTCTGGACTGCTTCGAAGTATATTAAGTCAGATCCTAGAACACAAACCTAGATTGCATCTACATCTGCGTCCAGTCCTCGATGCGAGGTTTATCCAGCTTGCAGAAGAGAACAGCCTAGGCCTAGATCCAAACTTGATTGGCGACCTTCAAATGGCTTGGAAAAACTGGGGGCTCATGTTTACTCCAGATGTTGAAGACAGGATCAGAAATATCGTAGCGCACCAAAATCCCCGTGCAGCTTTGCAGTCAATGAAACCCGATCTCTTGGAAACGTTTCCGGATCTACGCTACGAACTACTCCAATCGGAGCTGCTCAGTCGGTTTGCGCGATTGTCTAAGATATCTTCTGAGGATAGTCTCAAGCAATACCTAGAAGAGCTTAGGGGAAAAACCCCCGAGCTCGATGACTCACGACTTGACGATTTCATTATCCGTTGGCTACATATTGTCAATTTGGAAAAGCAGATCTACGCCCTGTTGAATGACTATGGTGGCGGATCCAATGGTAAAACTGGCATCCTGTATCTCGTCGATCAGCATAAGAAGAGAATAGCTTTGAGGTCTCAGGTTCAACAAGATCCCTGGAGTATAGGTACGCTAAAAAGTGGCCTGCGTCAGATTCTGGATCAGAAGCAAGACGAACTAGACATCTGCTTGTTTCTAGATGCTCTTGATGAGTATGATGGCCAACCAGATGTCATTAGCAGGTTTATTCAGGACCTCGCGCAACAAAGCCATGATTCGCCAAGTCGGATCAGGATCTGCTTTTCAAGCAGACCCTGGGACGCCTTTGTTGAACTTTTTAAAGAAGTGCCTGGATTCAAGATTCACGAGCACACAGAGGACGATATTGAGAAGTACTGCATCGGTAATATCAAGACAAGCCATAACTCTGAAACGCTGTCTGATTTGGTTCCGGCAATCACAAGGCGGGCGCGAGGAGTTTTCTTATGGGTGAAATTGGTTCTCCAGGACCTTACAAGGGACGCCGCAAATGGAGCAACAGGAGAGCAGCTCAAGGAAACCCTTGGCTCGTTTCCGGATGATCTATACACCTACTACACTAGGATTGTGGAGAGAATTGCACCTTCTTCTCGATGGGCGACCTACTGCGCTCTAGAGCTTGTCTCTCGCTTACGGGAAGGACTGAGTCTCGTCAGTCTCCTAGAAGCTGTGAGCTGCTCACGCAGCCAAGACTATCTAAACGGTAGAGATAGATTATCAAAGTTCCGCTACAAAGCTTCTAGGTGGTCTGATGACGATTTTGAGGGCCAGATACGAGTCATATCTGGAGGCCTTCTCGATGTAGTGGCTGCAGATGATCAAAAATCCATACAGTTCATGCATCAAACAGTGGAGGAGTTTGCGGAGAGACCACAGCTTAAACAGATTGTCCTTGGAGATGATTCGAGGGAAACTCATGAGAACGGTCATTCTATTCTGGCCAAATACTATCTTTTAATATCAGACCCGAGACGAGCAATCTATCATGCCCGGGCAGCAGAGCAGACTACAGGACGGAGTTTGAGTACGTTCATTTCGAGCATCCCTTCAGAGTATCTGGAGTTGCCGTTTTCTCCGTTTTCTCCGTTTCGCCTGAATGAAACAGCGAAATTCTCGGCCCTGACCTTTGCGGCATATGGCAGGCTGCAGCTGTATCTCAGGGATGAATCCCAATCACAGCCCTCCCTCTACTCGACAAGTACAGAACCCCTTCTGAGCAGCCTCATCATGTCTCTAACCGATGATCGGCAAACCCCTCCGGAACTTGAGGTTCTGTCGACCATGACAGCCATTCTCAGTTATGGATATTCGCCGCAAAATGATCGTAACCTCTTCAAACATCTCCTTTCTGTCATTTGGATGTCTAACTTAGGTATTGAGTCAGGACGGATAAAGAAATCATATCTTTGCACCTTAATATCGTTCCTCCTGGATCACGGCTTAGATCTTAACGAAAGAGTGGAACTATTAAGGGCTGATGACATTATTGGCGTCTTTAGGCCGCTTCATTTATGCACCCCAGTTGCGGCGAAGATTCTACTTGAAAGGGGGGCTGATGCCAATGTGCTAGACGACCTGGGCTTCAGTCCACTTGATTTGATTTGTCTAAGGGCTACACATCATTTTGTCCGGCTGTCAGAAACGGATCGCTATGAAATGGCCGCTCTTCTCACAAAACATGGAGGGGGCCTCCAAAAAGCCACAGTGGACGAATGGAGCATGTTCGTGGCCTCGCTCGCTGGTTCTGGACTGGATGTCACTGTTCTCAAGGGGTTACCCGTTGAACGGCCTAAGCGCCATCGACTTACAGGTTTTCGTAAACGAATATTTGGACGATGAATTCACAAAGAGCCCAGTCCTGCTTCACAGGAAGGTGATGTTCTCCAGCCATAAGAAAAAAAGGCTTTACCAACTATAATATCAAGCAGATGCAGTGGTTAATTTACCAGCCTTTGTGCAGTATGTTGTGGGAAATGGCATCAAGAACTAGCGTCGAGTATCCAACAATAGACCTTTGAGAGCGTCCACAGCCGAGATGGCCATATGGATTCAACTATAACAGTTCCGACAGGACAGACTGTGAACGAGCATATCTACGGTGAGGCCTTATGACTTGTGTACGGTAGTTGCGTCATGTACAGTCAACGGAAACCGGATAAGAGTGCAAAGGGTGTTTTCGTTGAGATTATCCTATCATGCTATTCCCATGGATGGTAGGTTTATGTTTCATCACTTATAGGATACAAGAAGTATTATTAATCTTAGTTTTTGGCACCCACTAGTATTTTTGAAAAATAGTAAAAATTATCATAATTCTAAGATAGAACTCTCTTTAGAGGCTATCAAAGGCAAGTTAACTGGTAAACCAATTGCAGTGTTTCAGGCACAGAGATTTGAGAATAACGTGATTTGTAAATAGGTTTGATTACTCACTTTTCTCCTTCTTTTCTTCCATTCTGGCGCAAGTTATAACCTAGAGCGAAAACAGGTCCAATGAAAACCATCATTTCGCGGACCGGAGGACGGAAATGTATGGAGACTTTCACGTACGACTAAATGACTCCTGGTCTAATACAGGCCAGGGTTCGTAGTCCTGCTTGTAATTAACCCGTGGTTTGCAATTAAGCAAAGTTGATGACGAGAAGCATCGCCTTGATGCTGGCAGCTCGACATCCTCAACCGCCCTGGATCCACCAGAGCAATAAGCAAAGTGGAAACTAAACGGAATGCAGTTAATTGGCAGTGGTGGTGTCAGACCTCTAAGATAGCGTACGGTAAAAGTTGCTGAATATTACTAAGGCTCCGAGACTGAAGGAGCAACTGAGTTGGCTATAGAGGAAAGACTTGGGCCTTGCTATAAACCGTTGCATAGAGGACTCCTCTTCACGGGGCTGCATTGAGTATTCCTCGGCATATTCACTCTATGCACCCTGGTAATTAACTAAACTGCTTTTGGATAAACGCGCGAGGTAAACCCCTTTCGGAGAAACGCGCGAGGTCTCCATATTCAACTCCTAGCCACCTGTAAGACACTCTCGTAATTGTGTATACGAAATCTGACGTGAATATCATGAACCAAACAAAGAGGGACTGGAAGCTATATTGGACTACGGCTGGTAACCTCTATTTCTAAATCAATTTACTGCGGAATACAGATTGAAAATAGATACGGCAGACTCATTGGAGGCTTCAACTTCGAAATTGTAGAGAGCAGTTGGTTAGGATGTGTATATATTTATTCTCTTTCAAAGGGCCAGAGATGGATGCGATCTGTGTTGCTTCTATAATGACCGCTCCTGGACCGGATATTAAGCTTAGTGCCGAATCTTACCTCGTGAGACGCCGGCTTGCTTGATTTATAAACAGACGACATTGGTCTTTGTCCCTTCAACCAAAGGCCAATTAATAATCTACGATTGTGCAAATAGCTCTCCATAGTGAGCTGAGCTGTTCTAATCATAGAATCCCCTTTCCGAGGTTGTATGAAAGAAAATGATGCTAGTTGTGGGGAGGATGCCGAGCGGTTACTGGAAGTTAGCAGCGATGTATAAATACGACGTGTTTCGTCAACGTCAAATAAAGAAAGATGATTAGCAACTGGATTCATACATCAGCCAAAAGACTTCTTTCTTTTCCTCCTCAAGAACAAGGTAGCACTTACAAGACATATCAATTCCATCCAGCAACCATGGCTGAAATCCCTCCTCCCAAGCCACAAGTCTTCATCATTCCCGGAGCCTATCACCCGGGCTCCGTCATGAACTTGTTCATCAAGTCACTGAAAGCAGCAGGATTCTCTGCTGAAACCACCACAAACCCCAGTGCCGGTACTGCAGGCGCCACCACGCAAGAAGATATAGCGAACGTGCGGGCTCTGCTCACGCCGCATATCGCCGAGGGGAAAGATATCGTCGTCGTCGCCCATTCGTACGGCGGCGTGATAGCTTCAGGAGTCATTGCCGGTCTAGACAAAAGAGGCCGAGAAGCTCAGGGTTTGAGGGGAGGTATTGTCGGAGTCATTTGTCTGGCGGCTCTTTTGAATGCTCCGGGGCTGTCAATCTTTGAGATGATGGGAGGGAAATGGTCGGACTGGGTTGACACGGATAAGGTGAGTTTCAACGCCACGTCCCTTTGTTCTCTTATACTTTTTGTTTCTTTTTGTCGAGTAAAGCACGGCGTTTCATACTATGATGGCATACTGAATTCAATGTTCTCTGCCAGCTCGAAACTGAAGGCATCACATACGCTCGAAATCACATCGAGGTCTTCTACCATGACGTCTCACCCGAATTAGCAAAAAGCGTCATAGCAAGTCTAAAGCCGCAGTCTGCACTATCAGTTAAAACCAAGTTTGACACAATCGGATGGCTAGACAAGACATATGACGGCCGCCGCGCGTACATTCGCTGTCTTCAGGACCACGCATTGCCTCTGGCGATACAGGATGGCATGGTTGCTGGGTCAGGGGTTGAATGGATAACCAAGTCTTTGGAGTCTTCGCATAGCCCGTTTTTGTCGATGCCGGATGAGTTGACGCGAGTGGTTGCGGAGATTGTAGCGGAGTTTGCACAGAATTGAGCGTTTGCGTTGTTGTAAGTGACTTGGATTTGGTGTCACATGAGGCTTAGTACACATACCACGTGGATCTAGATAAGATATGAAGACTAGTAGAATCTAGACTTATTTGATTTCTTCTTTGTCTCTACGGAAAAGCGGATATGGTTGACAAATAGGTCTGAGAGCCACATGGACGTAGCACAAGACTAGCTGCGTGGTATCCATTCGACACATGGACACCTAGCCTTAATGGTGAATGGAAGAGGCTTTCTTGATTCAGTTTTCGGCCAGCCACAGGCACTAGCAACATCCTTTTACCGACTCGTGTCCGTATTAGGGCAGTAGTATACCTATTACTCGTACATGTAGCAGCGTCGAACTAGACGTTTGATCAAAGGGATGCCCCTAATCGATATTTGCTCAATGAATGTGTCCGTGCCGTATAAGTCGTCATCTCAGATGACTCGCAAATGACCACCTGGTGGCCTCTTTGAGTCAATAGTAAGGATTTCGGACACATAACGTCCTCCGTGATGTCGGCGTTCACAACATGATGCCTTCGTAGCAACGGTTACATCTTTCTATCTCGAACGGCTTACTCAGCGGAGTCTCTATCCCACCAGCAACTTACAGATTGTACTATCAAGATGAGGTCTCTTTTTCCCACCAAAAGATGCTCCTTTTTCACTCGCTAAACGCAAATACGGGAGATCAATCGTTCGTGAATCGATATTATAAAAAAAAAAAAAAAAAAAAAAAACTTCTCCAGAGCAAATTTCCTTTGTTTCGTCATCGCTCCGTCGTTCGCGCTACTTTTGTTTTCCATCATTGTTCCTCCGCTGAGATTGTTGTTCCATTGCGCCGATTACCTAAGCCGGTCGGCGCCGCATAAGGCTGTTCGCGCCGATGGCGAAGCTCCGACATGCCGACCGCCGATACGGCGAGGAGAAGCAATTTGCTTACTTTGCATCTGTAGAGGCGGGTTTTTGGTGTAAGAGCGAATGCTGTGTATTTGGTTGTTTGTCTGTGTTTGCGAGTTTGAAAAGATTGAAAATATCGACAGAGTAAAAGAACAAGGAGAGAATATGGACCAGCTAGGACATTTAATGCAATCGTTTATCGACTTGTCCATCTAAACACCTGATGAATACCCGGTCTGCCATCTATAAGCCAGTCCAAGTCACCTCGCCTCACGCAAAACACTCGTAAATCCAGCGTATCATCGCCCTTAAAAAATCATCAAATAGCCTATCTCCATTTCCCATTTCAACCTCCCCCAAAAATACCCCTTTCGCCCCGTTTTTTCCCCTTCCCGTTAACGTTAAAATCATGCACCCACGAGCCAAAAGCGCGCGCGGGTCTGTGTGTCGCATCTGCCCCGGATCTTGTACAAAGTGCGAGCACCGATCGCCATGTTTGGCCTGCTTTGTTCGTCGGCGGCCTAGAACGTGGCAGGAGGACGACTAGCAGATCTCGTACACGGTCGGTCATAGACAATGCGATTTGCGCGAGGCAGCTGAGCTGCGGAGGATCACCAACCTGAATGATTGACTAATGTACGATGACGGAGGCTCGCTTCGTCGGTTTCATCTCTTTCGTCTTTCTTTATTATAATACAAAGGCAGTGGCCTGTCCATTCGTTGTTCCTAGCTAGCCTTTCATCATCATCATCACCATCATCATCATCATCAACATCCCTGCTTTCTCGATACTGCAAATTGACATAATACTCCATCACTCGCTCACTTACGCAAACGAGTCTCCGAATCTTATCGTGCGCTGCGCTATCGTCTCGCGTGCTTGGTGTTTTGGTGGTGTGACTTGGGACTACGACTTATACGCCATCTCCTCACACCGGCTTATACAGCACCTCACCTGAATTAAGCAAAGCCCTCAAAAAAGACCACGAGAAAAATTCATTTCATCAAAATCCATCGAATAAAAAAAGAATCTCATCTGCAAAGATGGCATCCAACGGCCAGAGCGGCGCAGTGCCGCCACACCTAGTATGTCCCATCTCCTCCCCCTTCCCCCCTCAACACCATCACCAAAGAAACCATCGCTGCAAAATCTCACCCTTCGAAAACAAACCAAAAGCATCACCATCAGACTAACATGGATACCTCACCCAGAGCCCTCCTTACCCCCCTAAATACGCAGGCCTCGGCGGCACCCCAACCCGCGGCGTCGACATCCCTATCTCCGCCGTTATCCTCTTCTTCTTCATCTGCTCCGCCGCCCTCAACATGACAATCTTCCAGCGCAACCGCCGCCGCGGCCACAAGTTCGTCCTCTCCGGCCTCTTCTTCGGCTTCTCCATGGCCCGCATATCGGCAAACGTCATGCGCATCGTCTGGGCCTGCTACCCGCGAAACGGCCGCATCGGCCTCGCGGCCCAGATCCTCGCCAACGCCGGTGTCCTGCTCGTCTTCATCGTCAACATCATCCTCGTCCTGCGCGTCTTGAGGGCCTACCATCCTCGTCTTGGCTGGAGCTTGCCCGCCAAGATCTTCTTCCGCACCATCTACGTCACGGTAGTGGCGTGTCTCTTCATGCTCATCATTTCCATCGTCTACAGCGCTTACACGCTCAACCAGTCCTCCATCGACAAGACCCACGACGTCCAGGTCTTTGCCTCAACCTACTTCGCCTTCCTGGCCTTCTTCCCGATCCCCGTCATCGCCCTCTGTTTCATCATCCCTCGCCGCCAACGCATCGAGAAGTTTGGTGCCGGAAGCATGCGCTACAAGCTATTCCTCATGATCTTCAGCGCCTGTCTGCTCACTCTCGGCGCGAGCTTCCGTGCAGGAGTCTCGTATTATCGCGTTCCTGTAACTGAGCCGAGATGGTTCCATCACAAGGCCTGCTTCTACTGCTTCAGCTATGTCATCGAGCTCATCGTCATCTTCACATACGCGCTGTCTCGCTTCGACAAGCGCTTCCACATTCCCGATGGAAGCAGCTCTCCCGGCCACTATGTCAACGGTGTTCCCGGCTCAGATGGACGAGTATTCGATGAAGAACTCCCCGCCAGCGCTTCTGCGCAGACCATGCATGATTCCACCTGGGACACGCCACTCGAGAACAAAGTTTGAGCAACAGCTGGGCAAATGATTAGGAGGAAATGGAGAAAAAGGACGAGAAGCATATAATGGCAGCATGAAAGCACCTGAGGTTCTGTATATATGTCAGTGTGCTCGGTATATTTAGACAAGGACTTCATATGGCGTTGGGTTATAGACAGGGTATCGTATATTGTACGAGTCATGAGATATCAGGAAAGGACCCCCCTTTGTTTTCGAGCAAAGTTTGGAAGAATCTTCTCTCAGTATAGAAATAAGCGTACTTGCATGGATGAATAGAAAATAAACCAAATCATCTATTTTGCCAGTTAGTAGCTTTGCCATCTAATAAGTGTTTTCAAGCCACGCATCCCAACCGAGTCAAAAAAAGACTTGCAGCTGACTTCTCGCCCCCATCCCAATACTATTGCCCCCCTTTCGACCACGGCAGTGCACACGAACATGTCGACTTTATAAATGCCAGAGTATAGCCGTCCCTTGTTAGTAGATTTGAACCCATTTGGAGCGGCAACACTTGGGCAACTCCTCTTCACATTGAGACTGGTCACGGCTGGGTGGCGTGGGCCCGTACACCGGCAGTAGGATTAATCGTACATTATTTTTTTAGATGCCCGGCTCCCTGGGCTCTAACAACTATAAACCCTCTTGCAAAAAGCCCTTTACAGCAATAACTCGTTTGAATGAAGAACGTTGGTGCTAGATTAGAGGAAGTAGTCGGGTGTTCCTGAAAGGGGGAAAAAAGTCAACAGTTTGGCTCGAGCATTTGGACGGGAATTGTAAACACATACGTCTAGAGACCATTGGCTCTCCGGCTCTCGGGCACGGATCGAATTGCAGGCTGTAGCGGTTAGCACTTGTGGCCCCGACATGGGGTGGGAGCTGTGTGTGCTTACAAGGTATATTTCAGATGCTCGTCAATTTCCATTATGGCAGCTTGGTTACCACATCGGTAGCAGTAATTTGGAGCTGTCAAGTAGCGGCATTGTCAGAAAAAAAAAAGCTCAGGCATGCAGGCAGCTGAAAAAGGGTAGGTGGCACGCGGACAGCATAGCCTTTGGTGCCGCAGAAGCTCGCCATTGGCAAACAAGGCAAATCCAAAAATCAATGACAAAAAAGACTCACCTGAAAAGATTGTCACCACGTTACGGTCTTGGGACCAGTTGTATCCCTCCATGACAAGCTGATGAGCTCGTGCCACCAACGTCAGGCCGTTGTTGTGATTGAAAGCCTCTGAAATGTCCTGGCCAAACGTGTACCCCGCACCGCGGGGAGAGATGCCCCAGCCGCAGCGGTCGTCCGGGTCAGACCATAGGAGATCGCACATGGGACCTTCGTGGGGGACCTCTTGGACACGATCGAGGGCCCTGATGTTATCTAGTGTGTCGATGCTGGGGGACAGGCCGCCGTGGAGGCAGAAAATCTGGTTTTCAATCAGGGCGGTCAGGGGGAGGTAGTCGAAGAAGTCGGTGAAAATCTTCCACACGTTGGCGTTGCCGTATTTGCGGAGGCATTCGTCGTAGAAGCCGTAGACTTGTGTGATCTGGCGCGACTCGTGGTTGCCTCGCAGGATGGTGATGCGTTGGGGGTAGCGGATCTTGAGGGCGACGAGGAGCGACACGGTCTCGACCGAGTAGTAGCCTCTGTCGACGTAGTCACCTGCAGCGGTTCACAAAGCGTCGTCAGCAACGGAGTTCAAGGGAGGGCAAGGGGATCAGGTCGCGTCTGTCGCACCCATGAAGAGATAGTTGGTGTCGGGACTGGGGCCGCCAATCTTGAACAGCTCCATCAGGTCGTGGAATTGGCCGTGGATATCGCCACAGACCGTCACGGGGCATTTCTGCAAAGACGCTCAGCATCAGCATTCTCCGCGGTCAGTGACCGGACGCATCCGATCACCGCATCGTCCAAGGGCCGGACCTACCACTGGCTGGACGTTTGACTCCTCCTGAACAACCTCTCGACCCTAGACGACAGCCAAAAAGTCAGCATCGCTGGCGCCCAACAAAACAACGTCACGAGTCGGCACCAACTGGGCCACCAGCCCAGGCCCACGACGTCGAAAACCTGCGTCTCTCGCATCTCTTCGGTATCGGATGCTCACCATGTCGCACAGCCTCTGGACGTCGGCCTCGGACAGCTGTTTGCAGTTCATCAGATTCTCAATCCACTGTTCCAGCGTGGATCTGGTCGCAGGCTCCGTCTGCACTGGCGACACGTCGGCCGGTACTCTCCCGACGTCTTCCATATTTGTGTCCATGGCGAAGTGCGCAGCTGCGGCCGAGGCGAGTCGATTGGCGATGCTTTTGCTGGTTGGGAGGCGAGGCAGAGGGGGGGGAGCTTTGAGGTTAGGAGGGGAGAGAGAAGGCTGATGGGTTGAATGACGTTGCGGTCACGCTTCGGGTTTCTGTCCCAAGAGGTTCTGGCAGCAACGAGCAATAGCGGGTGACAGTGGCAATTGGTAGTTGGCAGCTGTAGCAGATAGTGGCTGGTGGCGGGGCAGATGCGCCAAAGGAGGCGGATTTATAGCGATGGATGCGGTGCAGCGGTCGCTATCAGCCAGTGGGAGGCAATGGAAGAGAGAGCGAGAGAGTGCACGACTATGTGTGAGAGGAGCACGAGATTGCGAAAAGATTACAAGGGGAGGGGGAGGGGGTTCCAAACAAGCAGCGACAATAATAACGGGGTAACAAGAGGGTTTATTATAGGTACTAAGGTATTATACTAGCAGCTACAAGGACTTGGGCTTGGGGGCTGCTTGGATGGAGGAAGCATCAATGAAATAGCAGCTTCTTTATTGACTTCTTCTTCTTCTTCTTTGTACATCTGCGCTGGCGAGTGCCATCTATTGCGCATTGCCTAGTCCAAGCGTTCGCGTCTTGTCTCGAAATTGCTAGGGCGTGTTTTGATTTGTGTGTGCTGATGCTCGAGGTACTCGTACTAAGCATGAGGGGTTCTCAGCTTAGTACTCAGGTACTACTAAGGTATCAACCATCTTCCGAGTAGGTACATTAGCTTTGATCTGTTATTATATAAATCCTAAATCGAGCTGAACAATATCTGAATGAAACACATCACTCTTTTCTTCTTTACACACACAAAGCATCTCTTCTTCCCGCGTCGTGATGCCACTAAGCAAACACAGCTACATACCAAGGGGAAACGAAATTAAAAGCTCCCCCCTTTGGCGCCAATGCATTGACCTCAGCTCCGGAGCTGCCCCGCCAAGCTTATCCCAGAATCGGAGCATATCATCTACATCCCTACAGTAGATTGCCGTCTTCTTCAATCCCAGTACTGAAACAAAAATTGACTTGAAAATGCCATCAATTGCTGCGATGTTCTATTCTATCTAGAAATGAGGCTCCTATTGGTTGAATTATGCATATATTGAGTATTAATGTAGTGCTATAACTAATCGCTGTACGCAGCAACCCCGATGCTGCTGACTCAGAGCACCTCACTTACACGTATAGTATAGGGGGAGCTCAGCTCCGGTGTCCGGCTCCATAGCCTCCATGCTCATAGCTAGTCGAATACATGCTTAGAGCCTTTCTGTATAGACATGTCTGATCTGCCCCTGTTGCATTCTAAGGAATAGTGAACATAGTCATGCCGCCTTCTCTAGCTGCGTCATAGCCTTCCTCCTCCAGGGACAAACGCCATGAACTTCTCAACTCGACCCAGGATTGACACTCCTTCTCCTCTGATGCCAGCTCGCCATTACCCGTCAATTACTCATTCAAGCTAGTCCAAGCCCAACAAGGTCCTGAGTCTCGGGTCCCATACCGTTCGATGGCCCGTCCACGCCTTTGCCTACCAGGCTGGTGAAATCGAGTCCTACATCAGACAACTTCTTCGCGTGTTCCTTTGCCTGGTCCATGCACTGAGTCCAGACTTGCCCGCCGCGCTCCGTGCTGGCCAGCTGCCTGGCAAGAATCACGTTGAAAGCTTCCACCTGTTCCTTAGCCCACTTGACGCACGTGCTCATCATGGGCGGAGGGAAGCAGCTCTGAAAGCACTGGACCGTGTTGTGGATGAGGGTAAAGTACACAAAGGACAGCTGCCAAATGTACAGATGCAAATCGCCCTGAAACAGGCATTGTCTATTCGCAAAATGTTAGCTCATGCAATGCATGCTATATCGCATCTCAAGTGAAAGGGAAAACGAACCTGGCTCTCTTGTGGATCGTGTCAGCTCGAGCTGCAAGATACGCTTCTCTGGCCCTGTCTTCATAGCCTAGTCTCGCCAACCAGCTGAGGTTTCGCTTCGTCTTGCTCTGCTGGTGATGCGTCGTCTCCATCCCGTGAATAATGATCGTCGCAAGCTTGGCGCACCTCTCTTCAACCTCAAAGTTGATAAAATCTTGCGCTACGGTATTGCCCTTGAGACCCCGTGCCAAACCCTTGAGTTTTTCCACGCGTGCGACTGCGGGCTCGAACCCCTGAAGAGCAATGTCAATATCGAGCTCGTCCATTTGGCCTTCGACCCATCGGAGATTCTGCTGCTTGCCGTCCACCTCGATAAGCATGTCTTTAATGTCGGATAGCGTCTCGAGCAGCTCCGTCTTTTGGAGCAGTCCCGGATCTCTTGACGCAAAATAGTTGATCGTCTCTCTTGCCTTGTTATTGGCCTCCATCTCAGACTGCAACCCTTTGCGTAGCTCTTCCACTGCTTTGCGCACATTCATCATCAGCGCTTTCTTCTCACTCGCCTCTGGCTTTTCCGTGCGGTAGATGAACGTCTCTTGACCACCACCTCGAACCATGATGGCGTCGGCCAGCTTAGTACGGCCGCCTATGGAATCGCCCGTCCCAGGCATTTCGATGACCTCAATGTCAAGCAGGGGCCAACATCGGTCAGCAACGAGCTTCACCATGGGTCCACGAGTATCTGCGTTGGGCGCGTCGACCTTGCGTTTCTTCCGGGAGGCGACAAGAAGATGGTCATTCAACAAAAAGATTTGCATGGCCCTTCTGCTCTTGTACGTTGCATTGTCCAATTCGATCCAGGGTCCAGCATTGAGAACCACATGACGCCCAATCGCATTGGGTAGAAACTTTTGCGATCCTTCTACCGTCTTGTAAAGGGATTGCATCTGCGAGGTCCAGAGAACGCTTCGGTCTGCAACGGAGCTGCGCTTGTCACGTTTGCTCATGGTGACGGCCCCCCCTATAGATGAGTCCACTTCGTTTCTCCCTGAGGCTTGCCTAAGGGCCGTCGTGTTTGCCTTGAGTTCAGACATGAGGTTGCGGAGCGCTCTCATCTCACCCTTCAGTTTTTCCGCCTCTTTACT